AAAAGAAAATCTCATTTCTTGAGGAGAAATTCAGGCTAGCTACAGAAATTTGCATAAGTGATGAGGAGCTGAATGTTAATCACCAAGACAAAGGGGAATATGTCTCCAGGGCATGTCAGAGACCTTTGTGACAGCCCCTCCAATCACAGGCCCAGAGGCCCAGGAGGAAAAAGTGGTTTCATGGGGTGGGCCCAGGGTCCCTGTGCTGTGTGCAGCCTAGGGACTTGGTCTAGCCATGGTTGAAAGGGGCCAACGTAGAGCTCGAGACCTGGCTTCAGAGGGTGAAAGCCCCAAGTTTAGCAGCTTCCATGTGGTGCTGAGCCTGCACGTGTACAGAAGTCAAGAATTGAGGTTTGCGAACCTCTGCCTAGATTTCAGAACATGTATGGAAACACCTGGATGCCCAGGCAGAAGTTTCCTGAAGGGGTGGGGTCCTCATGAAGAACCTCTGCTAGGGCAGTGTGGAAGGGAAATATGGTATGGGAACCCCTACACAGAGTCCCTACTGGGGCATTGCCTACGGAAGCTGTGAGAAGAGGGTCACTGTCCTCCAGACCCCAAAATGATAGATCCACTCACAGCTTGCACAATGTGCCTGGAAAAGCCACAGGCACTCAACACCAGCCTGTGAAAGCAGCTGGAAGGCAGGCTGTACTCTGCAAAGCCACAGGGGTGGAGCTGCCCCAATACCATGGGAACCCACCTCTTGTATCAGAGTGACCTGGATGTGAGACCTGACTGCCCTGCTGGAGTTTGGACTTACATGGGGCCTGTAGCCCCTTTGATTTGGCCAATTTCTCCCATTTGGAATGGGTGTATTTACCCAGTACTGGTATCCCCTTTGTATCTTGGAAGTAAGTAACTTGCTTTCAATTTTATGGGCTCATAGGCAGAAGGGACTTGCCCTGTCTCACATGAGACTGGACTATGGACTTTTGAGTTAATGCTGAAATGAATTAAGACTTTGGGGGACTGTTGGGAAGGCACGATTGGTTTTGAAATGTGAAGACATGAGATTTGGCAGGGGCCAGGGGTGGAATGATAATGGTTTGGCTGTGTCCCCACCCAAATCTCATCTGGAATTGTAACTCTTATAATTCCCATGTGTCATGGGAGTGGCTCAGTGGAAGGTGATTGAATTATGGGGGTGGGTCTTTCCTGCACTGTTCTCATGATAGTGAATGAGTCTCATGAGATCTGATGATTTTAAAAGCAGGAATTTCCCTGCACAAGCTCTCTTTTTGCCCGCTGCCATCCATGTAAGATGTGACTTGCTCCTCCTTGCCTTCTGCCATGATTGTGAGGACTCCCCAGCCACATGGAATTGTGAGTCCACTTAAACCTCTTTCTTTTGTAAATTGCCCAGTCTCAGATATGTCTTTATCAGCATGACAACGGACCATTAATACACCATTAAACAACAAATCTATGAATACACCATTATACAACAGATCTTCTTTTGGTGGTCTCCGCAGTCCCTGGAAACTATCGTTCTGCTTTCTGTTTCAATGAATCTGACTACTCTAACTACGTCACATAAGTGGAATCATGCAGTATTTGTCTTTTTGTGACGGGTATATTTCACTTGGCATCATGGCCTCAATGCTCATCCATTCAGTAGCATGTGTTAGAATTTCTTTTCAAGGCTGAGTAATATCTCATTGCATGTATGTACCACATTGATGGACATTTGGGCTGTTCCACCTTTGGCTGTGGCAAGTAATGCTCCTATGAACATGAGTATACACATGTCTCTTTGAGGTCCACTTTCAGTTATTTTGAGATGCAGAAGTGGAATTGTGGGATCATATGGTGCACCACTGTTTAATTTTTTGAAGAATCTTCATACTCTCTTATTCCGCAGGTATACCACTGTTTTACATTTCTACCAGTGGCACACAGGGTTTCACTCTCCCTACATCCTCACCCATGCTTGTTATTTTCTGTTTGTTTTTTGTTCGCTTTTTTAGTAGTAGCCATCCTAGTGGGTGTGAGGTGACACCTCACTGTGGTTGTCATTTATGTTTCCCTAATGAAGAGTGGTGTTGATCATCTTCTCATGTGCTTGTTGGCCATTTGTGTGTTTTCTTTGGAACAAGGTCTGTTAGAATCTTGGCTCATTTTAAAAATCAGGTTGGTGGTTTTCTGTTGTTGTTGAGTTTTAGGGGTTCTTTATATCTGGATATTAGCCCCTTATCAGAGATGGGATTTGCAAATGTTTTCTCCGTTCTGTGGGATGTCTGAAGTGACTTGTTTTTAACAGGCTCTCTGGCTACTGGGTTGGCAATAGACTGTAAGTGGGCAAGGATGGGTGGTGTAGCCAGTAGCCCATGAATATGGTTATCTTCCAGTTCCTAACTGGGACATTTTGAATCAGCCTCCACCAGGGCAGGTGTCTTAAGGTAGGATGCTGAGGTTGGGAGGAGACAGGCGGGGAGAGGCCATTAGCTGGGATCAGAGGATGGAGCTGGTAGGGCGGGCAGGACCTAATCAGAGGGTCTCTTGTGCCTTTCTCTGTAGGGTCGCCATCTCTTTCCTGGCCCACTATGGCGTCCATTCCCAAATTTTTAGCTTGGCCAGTGAGGCTTTTGCTGTTGTGGTCCTGCCCACCCTACCAGCTCTGCAATCTGATCCAAGCTCCTGGCCTCAGCATCCTACACCCTCAGCCACTCGCCCTGGCACCTTGTGCCAGGCAGAGCTGAACCCTCTCCCTCGCTTCTCTCACAGACCCTGCCGGGGGGCCCTCACTCCCACACACCCCATCTCCCGTCTCCACGGCTGCCTGTTCTGCCAAATGCGGAACTTCCCCCGTGGGTGAAAGAGACTTGCCTTCCGCACAGGGTCCTTTATGCAGAATGGGGCCCAAACTGTGTTTGATTCAGTGAATGAATAGACGGACAAGAAAGAAGCGAAAGGTACCAGACCACAGACAAAGACTGAAGAGACAGAGGAGGAGGTGAGGGAGAGGACAGAACTGGCGTGGGAGAGATGTCGGGCCTGCAGCTGTCCCACAGCTTCGTGATGTAAGGCCTCACCCCCTCTTTGTGCCCTTCTAGGCGGGTGGCGCCCGGCCCTTCTGTCTGGCGCAGACCCTGCTCCTGGCTCCCTGGTACCATATTCAGAGTTCTGGATAAGACTCCACTCTGTCGCCTTTATTTCTTGTTCTTTTTCTTCCCATACTTTACATAATAAAGGTTTTCTTTTCTTTTTTCCTTTGGAGTCAGAAAACTGAAGAGACTATCTTTATTAAAGAACTTAATAAAGAGCTCAAAGGAAGTGGCTTTGGGGCCCGGGGAGGAGAGGAAGGGAAAGGGTCCTTTCATGCCAGGGAGGTTCTGTGTGCAGAGTTGGACCCTTGGAAATGGACTTTGGAGTTCAGGGCCTGGGAGACTCATGAAAAAAACAAAGGAGTCCATGAGAAGCCCCGGAGCTTCTGGTAAAGAGGGCCGTGTTTATGCCTGTTGGAACTGATTTGGTCAAGTGTTTGTTTAAAGGAGATGCCACTTGGTAAGCGATGCCTGGCTTACTTGTGTTGCGTTCAAGAATGCTTTGATTGGCTGGAGACGCTGACACTGTTTACTCAGAACTGGCTCGAGTGCGAGTGCCTGGAACCCAGAGGCCCAGCGCCACTACCCAGCAGATTCCTAAATGTCTAGCATTAAAGCGAGGGCTGCAGTGGTTTGACTCTGCCAGGCAGTGCCAAACCCACAGCGGTGCAGTTAGCTACCTCTAACCTTGGCTAGCATTCGTCTTTCTCTTGACTGGTAACTGTTGCTTGTTTAGATTGTGGGTTTGACAGAAAGTAGATTAAAGGTGCACACAGGCCCAGTGGGGTGGCTCACTCTGTAATCCTGTCTCCTGCTGAGGCGGGAGGATCACAAGGTCAGGAGATCGAGACCATACTAGCCAACGTGGTGAAACCCTGTCGCTACTAAAAAAAAAACAAAAACAAAAATTAGCTGGGTGTGGTGGCGCACACCTGTAATCCCAGCCACTCAGGAGGCTGAGGCAGGAGAATTGCTTGAACTTGGGAGGCGGAGATTGCAGTGAGCGAAGATCCTGCCACTGCACTCCACCCTGGTGACAGAGCAAGATTCCGTCTCAAAAAAAAAAAAAAAAAAAAAAAAAAAAAACGCACAAATCATGGTGCAACATCCCTCTCTTGGGAGGTGGTGACCACTGAACGTTTACCTTCACATCTATCACATACTTTGTGTGGTTTCAGGCTGGATCGTCCCCATCCCTGAAGTGTTGGGTTATGGACCCATCTTCCAGAAGAGAAAACTGAGGCACAATGCTTAGTATTAATGGTAGAGTCAGGAGGTTCAGGGGATTTGATTCCAATTAGACCCAGCAGTGAGCTCCTCTTTCCCTTTTTAGATTGTCAGGATTTTGTTGTAATCCTTTTTTTTAAATTTTTGGTTTAAATCCTCTGTGTCTCTCTCTATACCTGGTTTATGGCAGGTGTTGGTAAAATGCGAGGTGTGTAATGATGTGTTAAACTGGGTTGACGTGAACTCTGGGCTGTGGTGCTCTGGCTCTCGTAAGTGAGGCTGGACTAGGTCTGAAGATGATGGGTGAGTGGGACTGGGAGCTGTCTGGCTGCACAGGGCACATGCTTTATGGTGAGCACATCCGTGGATTCTGGTCAGGTCATGCTGGTCTCACATGGTCTTCAGCGTCACTGTTGTGTTGTTGCCCTTGGAGAGGGCAGCCTAGGGACAGAACTTCGACAGACTTGTCCCAGATTGAAAATCCAGTATTCTCTGTAGCACCTGACCAGTAGGTGATAACTTGATGGCAAGAGAAACAAGAGAGCTCATTTTTAAGAGTGTCACTGCATTATAGTTCTATGAAAGAGCAAAACAACTAGGAAAAAAAAAAAAGGCGTCTAAAAAAAACTGCAAGTCACAGGGGGCAGGGAGGGGCAAGGAATACTAGTTTCTTGTAGTTACTTTGCAGAAAGAAATGCTCCAGTCACCTCCCTTGGTATGTTTCAGGCAGCACAATAAGATTCGCAGTGTGGAGGGGAGCGTGCTAAAGGCCTACGTTTCCTTAGAAGTGTTGGATCTGAGTTCAAACAACATCACGGAAGTCCGGAACACCTGCTTTCCACATGGACCGCCTATAAAGGAGCTGTAAGTGCCTCTGTTCTGCCACCTGTGGCTGGCGCTTTGTGTCCAGCCAGGTAACAGCTTCCCCAGCACCCAGTTCTGGACACAGGAGGGATGCTTCCTTCCCTTCTCAGTCATGGCTGGGCTGAGTCAGTGGAGATGGTGCAGACCTTCCCGGAGCAGGGTGGGGATGGGGTCTGTGTGTAGAGCACATCCATACCCTGCAGCATTATCCTGACATTACAGACAGATGAGGGACAGAGGCAGAGAGAGGCTACTTAGCCTGTCCAGGGAACTCAGCACTCCCAGATGAGAGTCTGGGACTCAAGTACAGGTCGATCTTTACCACGAAGACTGCTTTCTTTTCCATTTCCTTGGCTGCCTCTCACAAGTGCTTCCAGAGAAGATTTGGGGAGGATGGTTAGAGGATTCTTATTGGAAGTCTGTTTGACCAGGCTTAACTTAATCAGTGCTTATCTTCCTAGTATCATGAGCTGTTAAAACAAGTCACTGGGTTTATTTGGAGAGGGCAGTTACTCTGTTTTGTGGGTTTTCGGCACCTTTTAGATTTGTCTGTTTCTCTTTTACCCATGTTAATGTCCTGTCTCACACACAATGGGTGGTAGACAGGAAGGAAAAAAGTTAAAACCTACTTAATCAACTTCTTGTTGGTAGGAAAAGTGTTGCCCTGGGGAAGAATTTGAAACCCTGGGCTAAAGAGACGTTTTTAAATTCCAGGTGAGTTTTCTTTTCCTGTGTCATTACTGTTCCAAAGTAACTCTGGAAACCATTTGCAAGGCTAGTTTAGGGGTCATTGTGACCCATCTTTTCAGGGAGAGTGACGTTTGGCACATGGATTTTCCAAGTAAAGCCCGCAAGGCAAGGAGTGATTTCTTTCTTAGGCTGCATCAAGGTGCCAGAGTTGGGGACCAGAGGCCTTGGCCTTTGTGAAGCCTCCAGTATGGGCTCTTAAAAGGTGTCCACCTGATACCACTTTGCTTTCTGCAAAACAGGCCTTGCCTTCAGGCCTTAGGTGCACAGTCCTAACACCTGCTTCTCTCTGGCTCCCCATCCAAAGCCTGTGGCTGAGAACATGTCACTGGAATCCTGTCCCTCTGGTGTCTTAATTGATCTTCCCAACTTAGACCCAGTGATCTTCCCAACTTAAACGAAATGAGGAAGGCCTTTAACCATCCACCACCTTTTCTCTCCTGAATCATTCCAGCAACCTGGCTGGCAACCGGATTGGCACCCTGGAGTTGGGAGCATTTGATGGTCTGTCACGGTCGCTGCTAACTCTTCGCCTGAGCAAAAACAGGATCACCCAGCTTCCTGTAAGAGCGTTCAAGCTACCCAGGCTGACACAACTGTGAGTACAGAAACATATACTTTAATTAAGGCTAGCCAAACTTTATGGAGGCCAGATTTCCCCAAGGACCTTGTACCAAACGCGACCCTTTCCTTGCTCCCTTTGGTAAAGCTCACCGTAAACTGCCATTAACGGCAGCACCTCATAAAAGCAAATGCGGAGCTGGGTCTGGTGCTGTGGCTGCCTCAGCTTGCTGAGAAAGAGATCCACTGAGTTCGCTTGTCTTCCCTGATGTTTTCCAAAATGGAATCAGGAATCCTGCTGCCTAGCTGATGCTGGCTATTGCTGAGGCTCTGTGGGTTTGGATTCTTATTTATCTTTGACATTTTCATGTATTTTAAAAAGATAACAATAAAATCTGTACCTTGGACATGGTAGTGTCCGACACTTCTTGAACAGTTTGAGAGGAAGTTAGTGTAGCCAGAGTTAGGTAAGCAAAAAGCTTTTGTCTTCATCTCTTAAATCTTACAAGGTAGTTGATTTATTTTTTTAAACAATTTGATTGTTTATTGATGGAAGCCTGAGTACCCTTCTAGAAGGCAGAGTTTTAGACTCAGGAAAAGCGCTGTTAACCAGAGCTTGACGAAGGACTCTTTTTCTCCCTGGGGTTTTTTTTTTTTCCTGTGCCCTCTTTTTGGCAGAAGAGCGTATTTCAGGAAAATAAGACAGTATTGGAAATTTTGTTTCAACAAAACAAAGTAATTGTCGAGGGCCAGGTTGGTGGCAAGACGAGGTATGCCCAGCTCTCAGCCTACCTGGGTTTCACCTTTCCTGGGTGGTGAGTCCTAGAGTTTGCCCTTTTCAGTGTGTGGCGAAGGTCTCAGTGATTCCCGAGAAGATCGTGTGTGGGGCAGCGTCATGAGACACTGCAAAAGTATTTGGGGAAAACCAAGGTCTTTCTGGCTGTTCTGCCTCCCCTTCCCGCAGGGCTGCTAATGGATCTGGCCCACCCAGATTCCTGACATCTTTTGGTTGACTGAGGCTTTGTCATACTGGGGCTAGAGGCCAAACGTATATGCCTTGTGCGTGTGTCTCCCCCATCCCCCCCACCCCCACGTGCAGGAACTTTTCTCCATAGTAGAAATGCTATGAATTGCCCCCAGTGGAAAGTGTTGCCATTTGATACTCAGTGGTTTGGTGTTTCCTGGGTTGAGGCATGTGGTCTGGATTTCTGTTGCTGAGCTCAGAGACACCTCACATAAGACGTTCACCCCTTGAGTCATACCCACCTCCTCGCTGCAGTCACAAATGGCACTGGTGCTACTGGGGGAAGAGACAGGCGTTCTCTTCTGGATATCCGTGGGCCCAGCCTCGGAGTTGGCCATGGAGAGCTGGGCCCTACCCCTCTTTCCTGTACTAGCTGTGGTCAAGTGGCAGCGTCAGTGCCGGCATGGCAGCTGAGACACACAGTGGGCTCCCCTACATGTCCTGGCTTCCCAGGGATCCCTGCGCTGGGATTGCCCCTCTGGCTTGGAAACTCAGCTAGGACTGCCTGGCAGTGGTTGCGGGTGTGATATGCACATAAGACACTCTGACCCTGCTGGCCTCATCTCTTAGGGACCTCAATCGGAATCGGATTCGGCTGATAGAGGGCCTCACGTTCCAGGGGCTCAACAGCTTGGAGGTGCTGAAGCTTCAGCGAAACAACATCAGCAAACTGACAGACGGGGCCTTCTGGGGACTGTCCAAGATGCATGTGCTGTAAGTATAACCGGGCTCCTGGTGTTGCTAAGGATTGCTATGTGACCTATGCACCATGTATGTGTGTAAGCATTCAGCTGAGCACTAGGTGTGGAGCGGGGCACCAGTGCCCAGCCCCTCCCGTGAAGGATCCTTCAAGACTTCAGCTAGACCCAGCCCCGTTCCCTTTGTTACTTCACCTGGGCCCAACTCAGTGTCTTGGGGACTGGGCCAAATCTGAGGGTTCTTTTCCGAGCAGATCAGGAAATCCACTGAAGTCCCATTGGGGGAAGTTTCAGCGGATTGAGTTAGATAAGTTGGTTAATGGAGATGGAGTAGGGGGCCATTTTGCCGGGCCTGCTCCCCACAGCCTGCATCCACTACCCCCGCCCCTGCTTCCTCGGTGGACGTGGGACTGCAGAACAGACCCCTCCTCACATCCTCTCCACTCCCACATTACAGGAAGTCCCATGTCTCCCCATCTGAGTTTGACAGTCTTTCTTGAGGTGCAGGTGGGCCAGAAATGTAGAGCTCATCCTAGGAGATTTATTTCTGTTTTGTGAGCTAATCAAGATCCTGGGTGCAGATGTTCAACTTTTATCAAGGAAGCAGTCTCTTCGGCCAGATGTGTACAACAGCAGAACGGGCTTGCCTGCGCAGTCACGTGAAACAGCAGGGCAGCATACAGGAAAGGCTTTTTAAACATTAACATTTATTTTTAATCAAAAGTAATGCATCTGCATAGTTAAATAAAATCAGATAGTAAAGAAAAGCCGTCACTGCCACCGCAGCCCCTTCCCTGCCACCCCCTCATTCTCTCTTCACCCCAGTGTTCTTCCCAGTTCTTCTCCCAGGAGGCAGACACTTCTAAGCCTTTCTCTTTTTGGTTTTTCTGCTTTTAGCTTTGCTGGTTGTTCCTTCGAAGTTAATATACTGACACCACTGTCTTTACTTATCCGCTTGTGATTTCCTGCTTTAGAGTCAGTGATATAACTTGCTCATGACTGCCCCTTCTCCCTTCCAGTCTGGGCACATTGTATCATGATTTGTATGTCCTTTACTGGTTTTCTTGGCAGTGGAAGCCAACTAGGCCCAGGTCCATCCATGTACTGTGCTGTGTCACTCTGAGCAGTGTCTCTGCATGACCAGCCCTCCCTACCCTGTGAACAGTGAGGATGTTTTCTGCCTCTGGGCTTCTTGCTCTACTCATGCTCCACCCTCAGTTTTACATATTCAAAAGAGTTTTCACTTGACCTCCTTAAACATGTCATTTTGGACTTGGAAATCCAAGGTGGTTATGGGCTGGGTGAGCTGAAGTTTAAAGATAATTCTCAGAGGAAAATGGGGTTAGCACCTACCATTTGGTTTTTATGTTGAACAAATTTATACAAATTGAGACTGATGAGCTGCATCAGAGGTTATTTATACATTAAGTACTTACCTTTTGAGCAGTGGCAGAGAGAAAGATGGAAAAACGCAAAACTTGGTTACCCAAAGCCCTTGTAATACTGAACACGGAACAAAATTTGAGTTAGGGACTTTTGTTGAAGAGGCGATCACCTGGGCTCACACTGTCCTTCCTAGCACATGCTGTGTCAGGAAGTGGGGTGCTACATGCTCACACACTGGGCTTGAGAGTTCAGGCCAGCAGTGCAGTAAATCCTGATGTCCCCTTGTTTCCTTCTTATAGTGACCCCATGGAGTTAGTGCTCCTGAATGTCTCCATGTTACAGATCTGCAGGTTTATTCAGCCAGCAAGCTGCAAAATTAGGATTTAAATCTAGGTAGTCTGACACGAGAACTAAAGCGAGTCTCCTAGCACAGTGGCAGAGTCCAGACTTTGGTAGCCAGACCTGGGCTTGAATTAATTCTGGTCCCTCCCCTACCGGCTAAGCTGTGTGAAGTCTTAGACAGGTTACCTGGCTTCTCTGAGCGGCATGTTCCTCTCATGTAAGATGGGAGTGCTAATAAGAGCCGCCTCCTATTTTCTCTCCTTTCCAGTTCCTTTAGTGGGCTTTGCCCTTGCCTGGAACTCTCATGCCTGTTTGTTTGCCTGGGTCACTTTTTGTTTTGCTTTTGGTCGCGATGGGGTTTTGCTGTATTGCCCATGCTGGTGTCGAACTCCTGAGCTCAAGTGATCCTCGCGCCTTGGCCTCCCCAAGTACTGGGATTACAGGCATGAGCCACCACACCCGGCCCTGGTTCACTTTTACTCAGCCAAAAATGTCACTTGTAGGAAGCTCCCTTTTGCCTGCTGAACATTCTGAGTCAGCTTTGGCATGTGTGCCATCACCGATTCGACACGCCTGTCTTCTCCCAGCCCCACTCCCATGCATGTGTGCGAGTGGACTCCACGGTTCTCGCGTGCACTGTTCTAGCCTGGGTGTGACCAAGTGTCTGGTGCGGCGTGGCCGTTCGTTTGCCGTCTGTCCAGGGAAGGAGTGAAAGCCCCTCCTCATCATGCGCGCTGCTGTCGTTGCAGGCACCTGGAGTACAACAGCCTGGTGGAAGTGAACAGCGGCTCGCTCTATGGCCTCACGGCCCTGCAGCACCTCCACCTCAGCAACAACTTCATCGCTCGCATTCACCGCAAGGGCTGGAGCTTCTGCCAGAAGCTGCATGAGTTGTAAGTGTCCTCAGCTCTGGGCTGTGACAGTGTTTTTTAGACACTGCTTGGAGATGAAAGTGCTAGGTCTGGTTCATTCCACCACACAGTGGCCTTGGGGAGGGCTCAGAGACAGGGAGGCCAGTAGCGTAGCCCTGTCCACAAACCAGCCAGGCCCAGAGTAGGACCCTCAGCAATTTGAGCCCAAGTCCCTTCCTGATCGCCTCTCCACTTCCTCTGCATTTGGATTAGCAGGGGCTCCAGGAGTAGCATCTAGGTCCCTGCAGAGAGCCTCAGCCCCCAAGGCCCTGCTGGGCTTGGAGACAGTTCCAGGGGTAGAAAGTTCCTGGGGAAGGGCAGCTACAGCAGAGTGCTCACAGGAGCCATTCTGAGAGTGACTAGCATGCGCCTCTTCAGCGAGGGAGTCATTTGGGCACAAACACAGGCAACTTTGAGTAAGTCAGCAAAGCCGAGACGGTGACACAGTGACTGGAAGAATTTGCTTCCTAGGAGTTGCCACCACCTTTGCAGTAGACAAGTGGCCCAGGCTCTTGGCCCCTTCCCTTTCTGTATGTTACACCGCAGTGTCCTGATAGCAGAGGCTACCGTGCAGTCATGTGTGCGTGCTTGGTTCAGAGATGCATCTTCCTCTTGGAGGAAGGTCCTTTTGGAGATTCCCAGACAGGGCTCCCAGGTTGAGACTGAGAACTGAGCTTGTCTTGCCCATAGTTCTGAGATTAGTAATGGCAGACTGTCCCCTGGGTATGGAGGGGCAGTGGCCCTAGCCACCGCCTCACATCAGGATGGGGTTATTGACAGTGAAGGTAGCACTCCTAAGGACTCAGAGAACATCTTCATAAACACCTGGTTTGTGTTTTCACTGTCCTTTCCGTTTGATATGCTCCACTTTAGTCCACAAGGTTTCTTTATTTTTCACAAGAGTTGGGTCGGCTTTCTCTTTTTTGTTTTGTTCTTCCTTTTCTAGGCTTGGCTGTCGGAAAAAGATTCACCCACTGAAGTGAATGATTGATTGTTAAGAGTGCCAAGTGTCAGTCTGTCCTGTCTCTCTCTCTCTTGACCTCACTGGGCATACTCAAGGGGATGTGTGAATCTAATGTGGATTCTTGCAGCTGGTGTTTGTGTCTGGTCTTCTTTGTTCTCTCTCTCTCCCCATCCTTCCCTCCCTCCCTCCTCTTTCCCCCCCCCCCCCCCCCCCCCCCCCCACCCCCCCACATCCATGGACTTGGAGTTTTTTTTTTGTTGATCCATCATTATCTGATGCAAAACACAGTGGTCCTGCCTCTTTCCTCACTTTCCTTGGATTCTGTGTTAACCCTTTGGGTTCAGCGTCTGTGGTTTAGGGCACTGCAGTTGTGCATCCCATGTGGTGCTGGATGGCTCCTTTCAGGCTCTGTACTCAGGCTGTGACCCCACCAGGGAACTCTGGGTTTTGTTGGTCAGGGCTGGGAGCTGTGGGAAGCAAGAGAGGTCTTTTAAGTCCCCCAAGCCTGAGCCAGTCCAGTTCCTAAAGTTGGGAGCCGTATTCTGACTTACTAGCGTGGCAGCCCCAGTTAAAGGCATGCTCTCTTCTGTGGGGTGTGGGATCCCCTCTCTGGCTGGTGGGAGGCATGAAGCCCTCTTCTGTGGCCTCTAGAAGGGGCAGCAAAGGTCACAGAAGTGCGCTTGAGCAGTCCTAGCAGTTTGTGCCATATCCAGGTAGACTCAGAGCCAGATTTGGGATTGCTTCCCAGCGTATGTTTCCCACCCCTCCTTTAAGCTAAATTATTTAATTGCAGGTGAGGATATGATTTTATCTCCTGCCAGGTCTGTGCAACTGACAGACAGCCTGACTTATTTGTCCAGGAGGGAAGGAATGCTGCTCCTTGCTGTCTTTAAAAACCCATTAATCTTCTTTGAATTCACTTTCTTTTTTCCTGTCCCAGCCCCAGTTTTTCATTTTTCAACGATGGATGACCAATATGTCACATAACCAACTCAGAAATGCAGGAGTGCTGGGAGGAAGCTTTGATTCTGAGGCTCGGGCAAAGCATATGGTTTTACTGCCTGCAGTAGGGATCCTGTTCTGAGGCCCACATGGATGGGGGCAGGGAGGCCTGGGCAGGAGCCTCCCACCCAGGGGGAGTTGACCAGCTAAGGCATGAGGCACAGGTGTGGCCGTCCCAGGCAGGGGCTAGTGGTGCCCTCTGCTGGCCATTGCAGGGAGTGTGACTGGGGCTCTCTGGCTTGCTGCTGAGCCATGTCCAGAATCCCAGGCTTCTGCTATCAGAGGTCTTTGGTAGCCTGAATCAGGAGTAGCCTCGGACAGCAGCATGAAGGCACTGGAGCTTGAGAGTTCTTGTAGTGTCATGACCTTGTGTGTAGTCTTCACAGATTCACAGCCACCCTGGCCCCTGTGACCTACTCATCCATTCTAGGAGTCAGACTAGTGTGTTGGGCACTGATGAGTTTCTAGCTGCATGGGCACTTGTTTACCCCCTAGGATTCTGTGTATACGTGTGTGTGCGTGTGCATGTGCATGTGTGTCATTTCCCACTGAAACCCAGCCGCTATGGCCTGATTTCCAGCAGGGTGGGGTTGGGGACAGCCACGCTAGATGGTAACATTGCTGCTCTCCCTTTCTGCAGGGTCCTGTCCTTCAACAACCTGACACGGCTGGACGAGGAGAGCCTGGCTGAGCTGAGCAGCCTGAGTGTCCTGCGCCTCAGCCATAATTCCATCAGCCACATTGCGGAGGGCGCCTTCAAGGGACTCAAGAGCCTGCGAGTCTTGTATGTCTCCCACTACTGACAGGATGAAGGGGTCCCCGGTAGGGAGAGCAGAATAGAGCAAACCAACTGTTTAGCTGACCTCCATTTGCGTTGGCTTCCAGTCAGAATTGGATCCCAAGCTGGCTTGCTCTGTGTGCAGAGTCTCGGACTTCTATGTAATCAACTGAAAGATAACTGGTTAAGCAGAAATATTTCTCATTCCCCCAGGATGGTGCCTAGAGAGGGATGGTGTCTAAGTAGTTGTTCTCAAGCAGTGATGCCCACGTTGCACTGGACGGGATGCTGGCTCCTGGCGTTGGGAAAAGCTTCCCCACGCTGGGTGCCTGGTGCAGCCTCCAGTTAGGTAGCCGTGTGGTCAGTCTTTCCCGTCTTGAGTCTTCATTTGCAACTTCCATTTTTAAGTCCTGAATATTTTTTCTCTAAACCATGGGAATGCTGCAGTGTGTCTCTTGTCCTAGCATTTAACTTCTTCAGCATAACCTGTACCAAGATGCTTCCTTTCCAGAAGCAGCACTTGGGGAATCCTGTGTCTCTCCTTGCACCTCATCAGGGGTCAGTTAACAAAGTGGAGGTGATAATGCTGTTTCCCTTGAAGTCCCTAATTAGACGATTGGCAAAAGTGGCTGCAGGATGCTTTTCTGAGACTTGTATAAAACTTTTCCATGGTTGGCTTCATAGAACTTCCAAACAGCTATCAGCATAAAACCCCCAGAGAGGGGTATATGGTTTTCAGAGGACAGTGATGGCAGGTTCTAGGGTCTTCTTCCTAGGCATAATCCACTGCACAGAGAGGGGTCTGTTCCAGTGTGACGGGGGGGAGCCTTTGCACTTGCACCTGGCAGAGCCAGCTTTAATGTGGAGCCATTGCTGGGGAGTGTGAAAGAGGCTGGAGCCAAGCTATTCAGGCCAGGTCAGCCTGTAAGCCCATTCAAGGCCTGAATAACAGGCTGGGAACATTCAAACCGAGTGGGCCAGAAAGGAGAGAAAAGCTTTGGCAGCCAGGGCTAGGAGCAGGGAGACAGGCACACAAAGCCACAGCCCTGGGTCCCTGGTTTTTTTGAGTATGCAGATGAGAGGAGGGAACCCACTGAGAGGACAAGTCCCTTCCAGCAGCAGAATCTCTACTCTCTGAGCTTCCTGCTGTAAAAGAAAGGTCACCGCCAGCATTTCACTCTTCAGCCAGAGCTGCCCTTCCTGCTGGCAGCCTTGATTCCTGCTGCAGCTTCTCACAGGAGCCAAGAGCTCCTTTTCTATCACTGGCTTGTGTCTGCAAGGGCTCAGGAGGTGGAAGTTTAAGAACCAAGGACCTCATGGAAAGTTGGAGAGGGAAGAACGTGTGCAGGGTTGGAGTCTGGTCGCCAGGTGTGATGTCTCGCCTGGGTACTGTGACCTACTCCTGGAAGCTGGGAGGCCATTGAGTCATCGGCCATGGGATTTGCATTGTTGGAGGGGCCTGGGCTGAGGAGTTGGCCTCATTCCTCCGATCCTGGCAAATGGGTCACAAGTCTGACTCAGCACCCAGATGTCCTCCCTGGCTCAGAGTCAGCGCACTGCAGGCCTTGGGAAGAGATGGACTCTGGGCTCCGGACCCACTGGCTGGCACAGAAGGGCCCTGTGCCGGGTTTCTTTCTTCCATGTGCTTTCTGCAGTTTCTCAGTCACGTCCAGAAAGGGGACTCTGGTTGGTATGAGGGCAGACGGGGAGCCTTAAGGAAGCTTTTGGGCTGATACTCAACTGCCAGGGCCAGGTATCCACTCTCTGGGGGCAGAGTACAAACCAGGCTGTCTGTACCACCTCCCTTACCCGGAGCGTGGCCTCCGCAGACAGGCAGGCAGCAGGTGGAGCCCAGGGAAGCTTCTTGCCTGAGGCATGTGTCATCTTGGTTGGAAGGCTGAGAAACAGCGCTTCCCTCTGTCTCTCCACCCTACATCTAGACTGTGCCTCCAGGGTGCACCCAGGGGACTTCAGCTTCTGAGCAGCAGGCTGGGTGGGAGTTTGCTTTCCCTTCATGATCAGACTGGACGGTGAGCTGCTTTCTGTCCTCTCCCCAGGGATCTGGACCATAACGAGATTTCAGGCACAATAGAGGACACGAGTGGCGCCTTCTCAGGGCTCGACAGCCTCAGCAAGCTGTGAGTATCTGCAGCATGGAGCTCTGCCAGCGAATGCGTGGGAAGACACTTCTGTGGGAGACATTTCTGTGATGCCCCCCACGCCTCTCTGCTCTGGGCCCAGGTGGAAGAGAGCTGGCTCCACGCTGAGCTGCTTTTGTTTGGGGAGAAGAGTCTGAAGAAGAGAGCGGGGGATGCCCCACTCCTCGCTGGCCGGGGGTCTCCTTGCTGACCCGGGGCTTGGGTTCTTGGGGACTGACGACCTGGCGTTTGGTGACCTGGTGGAGCTTCTCTTGGGCTTCACTCGCAACTCACTTGAAAACTGCTGGATTTGCCGTTGCTCTTTGTACAAAGGAGTCTTGCCCTGTTACTTAGTTTCTTGGAATTATGGGAGTGGTGTAAAGCTCAGTAAGCTGTGAGGGCCGTGGGGCTCCTGTCAGGACTTTCGTCATTAACCATCATCTCAAATGGAAACAGCATCTCCAAGGGTCACAGTAGCAGCTATTTTGAATGTATGGTTTGGGGTCTTTTTCATTTTTCCTAGCTCCTAGGTTTTGCCAATTAATCTGCCAAGCACGTGTGTGTTATATCTAATGATCTTGTGAGGGTAGTCTTTGTTAGGCAACCTTTTTATACCTGAGGAAAGAGAAGTGACGGGATTTTGCCCAAAACTACACGGCTGGCAAGTGGCGGGATCCGGATTTGCTGGTTTGGCGCCAAAGCCCACATTCCCTCCCTGCCAGCCCACCCTGTTTACTTTGCATGTCACCAGCACTTTCTGTAGATGCCATCCAAGGACCCTGCAGGGGGGGCGGGAGGGAGGGCTGACTAATTATTACTGTTTACTGGAAGCTGGGAGGGAAGGCTTGAAGGGGAGGGTGAGACAGAGGGGATGGTCCCCAGTGACGGGGAGCTCAGCAGAGTGCGAGTGTAAAATAAATATTTGGAAAGCCCTAGTGGAGGTTGAGGATTGAGGAGAGCCTGTGGTATGGAGAGTCTTTCTGTATGGTAGATGCTTCTGATTTGTTCTGAAAAGTGTGGCTTTTTGCACCTTTGATATTCGAGGGTCTGATTGGGAATAAGCTCTTTTGGCTGTCTGAGGAAGCTATTTCTTCTTGAGCATCCTGTACTCCAGCAGCATTTCGGAGATGCTTGTCAGTGTTTCTTGTCCTTGTTGTCCCTCAGACAATGCTCATTTTCCCCAGCCTTTAACCTGTAGTACATGGCCCCTTTTTATCCCTTACGGGGCAAACCTGGGAAGAGCCAGAAGTATCAAGTGGGGTGGGACAGTGGCCTGGTCTTAGCAAGAGGAGCTCCAGGCCTGGGATGGGGCTGCTAAGGTGTTCAGCACGAGGGCTGCCCCTTGGCATAAGCCTCCCTGGCCTTGGCCTTAACTGACTGAAGGGTGAGGGTGGGGAGTGGGTAGCACTGCCAGGTTCCACTGGGGTGTGTCCCTCCAGAGGAACCTGGAGCCGTTTCCTGGGTGTTATGGCTTCTAGGAGGCTCTGTCTCACTACAGAAAGCAGGGCCTGTGGGGTGCGCCTGGCCCTGGGTCCCCTGGGTTCCAGTGCTAAATGTGTCCACCGCGGCCTTCCTGAGTGTCCGCCCTCTCTGCCCTGGTCCTTTCTCCTTTGTCCACCTGCTAGACCAGGCTCAGCATTTCCACCTGAGCCCCAAGAGGTCAGCCCGAGCCCTTGCTTTCCTCACTCACATACGTAATGTGGTGGGCTCCACACGGAGCTGGCCCTGAGACTCCTGGGAACTTGTTAAAATCCAGGCCTCATCCCACCCAGCCACTGAGTCAGCATCTTGGGGCTGGAGACTCTGTGTATCTTTGAAAAAGGGCAAGAGAGAAAGACATGCATCCAGTTGGGGAAGCTGGGACAAAAAATAAACAAGAAATCCTTAATACGATTAAATATATGTGGTCACTTACTTACATGTGATGCTATCATGGTTATGTTGCAAAAGAAAAAAAAACGAATCCTTTTCTTCTTAGATAAAGAAAGAAAATGGTATAATGCCTATGATTTGGATTCCATAAACTCCTGCTGAGTTTAAGAATGGGCAGTGGCTAGAGAGAGATGAGGTGAGACTGGCTTAACCGGAGGAGGGTTGTAGCTATGTGACGGGCACTTAAGGTACAGGATACTACTCCGTCTGCCTAGCATGGTATGTGCAGATTTCCACAGTAAAAGGGAAGTGGAGAAGTAAATGCTTCCCATGTGATCCTGGTACACAGGGTTACTTAACTGCTGTGTTTGGCATATCACAGGTGTTGAGTCGATGTTTGCTGAATGAAGGGAGGGACAGAGGAAGAACCCAGTGCCTCGTTAGTCCCCTCCTTACCCATCTAGTCAGAACGTTGGCAGGAAAGTTGTGCTGTGGCCGTGGCTAAGAGGAGTGACCACAGACAGCACCGTGTTGCTCCATGGGAGTGGCCCGGTCTGGCCTGTTGGGATCCACTGAGAAGTGGGGTGCATGTTAGCACGGAGATGAGCTGCCCCTCTAGAGCAGTTGATCTGTACTGTGGGGAGCGCAGCCAGTGCTGTGAGCCCCTTTATCTGGTGTGAGTTTGCCTTTGGAGAGCTCGAGGGGCTGGTGTTCAGGGCCTGCCCTAGGATGGGAAGGTAGAGACCCCTGTCTTTGCTGAGTTACTCAAAGACCTTGGGTCCTTTCCACCATGCCAGAGGTCAGACCTAAATTAAAATGTTTTCCAAGAAAAGAAGATGTGAGCAGCAGAGCCATAAATGGCCTCTCTGTGAATTTGGGGTGGATGCTGACCTGCCCTTAATTTTTCCAGCTGTTGAACAGCCGTGTTGGAGACTTCCTCACACTGGAGCTTCCCGGCAGGGCGAGAATGTTCCCAGACCCCAGCACATGCCTTTCTTCCTAGCTTGTCTGGGATTCTTCTGTAGACTCACCCCAGGACCTTTTTCCAAATGGTTGTGCGGTTCCCCAGCTGGGGCCTGCATAGTGGCACAGAGTCAGTATGCGGGAGGGAAGGGAGAATTTCTGGATCCCAAATTACAGGCAGAGAGGAGCAGTTAGTGACCTGGGTATGCAAGTATCTGCCCCGTGATTCCAGCTGGCTCCATGGCATTCCTCGGAGGGAGGGGCCAAGTCCCACACAGGGCACATGGGAAGGGGCATGTTTGGGGAAACTTGCAGAGCTGATGTGAGCGCAGCCTCTATCCCCACCCATGGGGTATGCCGGGCCCGCAGTGGAACTCATTGTGTGTGTGTGTGTGGGTGAGGGAGGAGGCTGGTGCACATGCCACGGCTGCTCTCAAGGACATGAGTACAAGGTACTGAGCACTGCCCCTGGTACCTGCCACTTGCTTTGGCAGACGCTAACCAGGCCTTTGGAGCTGTTGGCTGGGTTGGCCAGGAGATGGATAGGAGGTTTGACAGGTGACCCCCGCAGCTCGCTTTCTGCTTTGCGTTGGTGCTGGGGAGGTCCGGCCAGCTGTTCCTTCTCTGGGACAGAAATAGTGTCCTCCCAGCCCGCAGTCCTCCTCCCCTTCTCACAGCAGCCTTTTATTAGAGCCGTCCCTGTCTGCTGACTGCAGCTCCCCGCCCCAGCCCCAGATGTCTGCTGGGGGAAGGTAAGGACCCTGCTTAATCCACCAACAGGATGATTAGTTCCTGCATAATTGAGAATTTGAGAATTTGTTTTATTGCTATTGTCACCATTAAAAATAACAGCCTGCCCTTATTGTAAACAGGTCAATGTGACTAATACTTAATGGATGAAATAAAGCACAGCTTTTTCCTGGATCTCGTTTATAGGAGATTTCACTAAACAGTTCAATGCGTTTTTACTGGGACCTGGGGCACACAGTGCCTGGGCCGGGGGAGCTGAGTAAGTGTAGAAGTTGGCAGTGCTCTCTGAAGTGCTCAGGGTTGCAGTGCCTCATGAGCTGTTATTTGCTGGCGAGATTTGTGGTTAAAGAGCCTAAGTTAGCATGGCCACTGGGTTTTCTGTGCATTTGGTTTATTTGTTTTAAAATAAATGTTTTAGACTGAAAGAGGTTGTGGAAACGCTTTAGAATACGATTGTTTTCACATCCATGCATACGGCCTCAGAAAGAAAAGGCAGAGGGTCTCTGGCCCATTTGCCCCATCATCCTCCGGAGGCAGGAAACAGAGCTTGCTTTGTCTGAGGGCTGAGCTCAAGTTAGTGCTGGGGTCGGCCTGAATGGAGGCCCCCAGGGAGGGAGCCTGTTTCTGATGAAACGGAGGATCAGGCAGCCCCTTTGGAGTGGTTGCCCCGGAAGCTGGCCACACGGGTTGGTGGTGCCTGCCTCTGGCTCTGCTATGGGCCTGTGTTTCCAGGAGGCCTGTTGCAGTTACGATGAAGCAGGGGCCCGTGTGCTGGGCAGGTCCCAGGCTGCCCTGCCATCTTTGGTTTCCTTCAGGGCTTATATTTCCTTTCTTTTCTTCCTTTTGGAAAGGGGCTGGGGCTTCTTGTCTTCTCTTACAGGTCCCAGTCTTAATGCAGGTTGAAGATGGAGCTAGCCTGTAGTCCAGTCTCTTCCCCGATGCTAGGTGAAATCCTGGGCCAGGAATCCCCTTCCCAGTAGGGTACAGGGCCAGATAGGCTTTCTCCAGGGGCTTCCTCTCCTGCCCGTCTGCACCCAGTTGCCTTGGACAGACCTGTTGATGCTGAGAATCCCCATGAGTTGGCTCCTGGCAGTCAGTGTTCTTAGCAAGCCCATTAGATCCTGTGGACCTCAAGGTTGACAAGTTGACGAAGCTGATGGTCAGCATTGCCTTCAGTTGTTCCCTGGTGGTCTCCTGTGCCATCTGGATTAGAGGGAATGCCTTTGGTGGGTTCTCATGAGAGAACATGATAAGAGGGAGGGGAAAACATGATTTTCTTCATTCCCAGTGTCCACCCTAGGGGCTCTCCTGTAGAGACACCAGCTTCCCTTTAGATCACACAGTCTGGTGGAGGAGGTGCTCATTTTTTCCTTGTGTTATGCAGGGGTGCAGACTTTGGCTTCTGGGAAAACTCTTAACAGTTAATGCTAAGGCTGGGATCAGAGTTGCCTGGAGGCAGGAACCTCTTGTCATGGGCAGGCAGTCCAGGAAGGGGACAGGCACTAGCAATAACCTTGGAGGTTGGCGCACTGACGTCACAATATAGTCAGGGGTCTGGCTTAAGAGCCAGATGGGGCATCTCCTGCAGGGCCTGAGGTGTCCATCTCATAGGCAAGTACACAGCTCACAGTGGCTGTGTGTAGAGAGAGCTATGGAGTCAGCTTGATGGATCCCTGTTTTCCTGTCCTCTTCTTGCCTCTTTTGGGAAAGTTTAGCCCCAGAATGCACTTTTCAGAACTGGGTGGTAGTTTGGGTTTTTTTGTTTGAGACAACAGCGCCCCCTATGTTCCCTGGGCCAGAGTGCAGTGGCACAGTCATGGCTCACTGCAGCCTTGAGTTCCCAGGCTCAAGCAGTCCTCCCACCTTAGCCTTCTGAGTAGCTGGGACTACCAGTACGCAGCTCCACATCCAGATAATTTTTACTGTTTTGTAGAGAAAGTGTCATCTTATGTTGTCCAGTTCTCAAACTGCCTGGCTCAGGTGATCCTCCTGCCTCAGCCTCCCAAAGTGCTGAGATTATAGGCGTGAGCCATCATGCCCAGTCATGGGAGGCAGTTTGGATTCCAAAGATTTGTCTTTCCTTTTTGGACTCCGCTTCCTCTCACTGAAACCCATAGCCTGTCTCATGTCTCCTGCAAGGCCATCACTAAACTTCACCACCCACCCTTGGGTGGTCCTTGGAGAGAGACAGCCTGGGCAGGACAAGGTGATTTTCATCTGACACTGCAAGCAGCCTTTTTAGGCTAGACGGCGCATGCAATTCCAGCCTGTCATCACTATTAAATTCTAATAAAGATAAAAGTATTTCATTTCAGAAAGGGGAAGTCCTGCGTGCCTCAAACCTGTAATCAGAACAGGTCAGCTTTCCACCCGCCCCTCACTGGACAGACTTACCAGGTAGCACTACCTTAATTGTGTGTTTTCTTCTCTTTCTCTCAACCTTCTTGTTTCTCTCTCCTCCCCTGGCCTCAATTTCTGGATGTTTGGAAACTGCAGGAGTCTGTTTGGAAACAAGATCAAGTCTGTGGCTAAGAGAGCATTCTCGGGGCTGGAAGGCCTGGAGCACCTGTGAGTATCTCGCCAGCTCTGCCCTGAGGCACAGGCCTGCCAAATGCGGCTCCCTGGACGTCTGCTAGCAATTTAATAGCATCTTTGTAAACCGAGAAACAGGCTATTTGGAAACACCAGCTGCTACCTTCTCATTATAAGTCAGCTTCAACTTTGGCCTTTATGTTGCCTATGCCAGGAACAGTTACAGAACATATGGCCAGTTGGTGTGCTCCCAGTTAATTTAGTCGGTATTTGGATAAATACCCTTCCCCGTCCTGCTGCGCTGCCTCACCCCTGCACCGACTGGATCCTTCATGGGCCCCTGGCCTCATTGCCTCTTTCACCAGGGCGCTTCCTCCTGGCCAAGCCTCTTGCCTCCATTAAAGCAGCTTAACAATACAGAGTGGATGCTGGGCTGAACCATTTTGGTGTGATGATTGCTTCTGAGACCCTGGGAGGAAGGGAATAGAGTCACCCCTGAGACGTTCATGCTGTTGCCATCTGGGGCGGATGCCTCCTGTATATGATTCTTAGTTTATTTCTTCTTTGAATCAAGTTTGAGTCTAACTCTGTTGGAAAAGGTTTGGCCTTCCTGAGCAGGCCTCAGCCGAGCTTTGATGGTGCCCTAAGGCCGGCTTGGCTCCTGAGTGGTTTCGTGGGCTGGCGTCACTGTTTGGGAAACAGCAGCCACCTGTAGTAGTTAGGATACAGGTCTGGCTAGTCCCTGTGGGTCATCTGTGGAACCAGGACTGTCCTGAAAACCCCTCAGGTGTACCTAGGGTTTCTTTGCACAAGTATTTGTGTTCTGTTTCAGGAACCTTGGAGGGAATGCGATCAGATCTGTCCAGTTTGACGCCTTTGTGAAGATGAAGAATCTTAAAGAGCTGTAAGTATCTGGATTCCCTGGGTCTGATTAATGTGAGCGGAGACTTTGAGAGCAAGAAACTTCTGCAGTTGCATTTCTTACAGTTGCATGCTCACTTCTTAAAAGGCCACGTGGTACATATTTTGGATTTTGTGGGCCACAGGGTCTCTGTCATGGCTACTTGATTGTGTCACTGCAGCAGAAAGCAGCTGTAAACAATACATAAGCAGTGGGGTGTGGCTGTGTGCCCATAAAGTCACAGTGACAGAAGCAGGCAGTGGGGCTGCAGGCTGAAGTTTGCTAACCACTATTCTAGACAATGTGAAATATACTCTCTTCTATAAAGTGGATAATCACCCCTTTAATTATGTCAGGGAAGTTTATTCATGTTTTGGGTTTGTTTACAGTGAAGGCCTGTTGAGAGGAGCTACTTCAGAGCCTGGTGGGCTAAGAGCAAGGCAGAGCTCTGGAGGGGCTGCGATACTCAGGGGTGCAGCAGTGTCTGCCCATACCATTTCCAAGGTTCCTGGGCACGGTTCACAGGTGCTGGTGCTGCCACTGTGGACTTTGATCATGGGCTCTTGGGTGACAAGTTTAGAAAAGCTTGCCTGTATCCTACTCTCTGGCAGGGGAGCTAGTCTAGGTCCTCAGGTAGTAACACCCAAGTTTCCTTTCTTTTTCTTCTTCTTTTTTCTTTTTCTTTTTTTTTTTGCTAAACATGAAACTGATTCTGTAGCCACTAAGTTCTAGCCATGATACCACTTCCCACAAGGAGTAATTTTTGGTTCTTAGAAGTGCTGAGAGAATGGCAGATGCCACAGGACAGTCATTTTTGTGCCCTGACCTCATCCCCATTCCCTGAGGCCACTCCTGATGCACCCTCAGTTGGGGCAGGGAGGCTGGGAGCGGGGGAACAAGGTGTATTTCCTGTAGCTGATAACTGAAGCAGGCTGGGTGACACTGCTCTGAGTGAGGAGAGGAGGTGGCCTAGGCCCCTGCCCCGTGGCATTGAGCATGCTGTGAGCCTCAGGCCTGCTGAGTAGCTACTGTCCTTGCAATGGTTGGATCTCGGAGTGGGCGTCTGTGGAGGATTCATGGAGCTCAGGGCTCTGCAGATGGCTGCTCCGTGCCCAATGCCTTCCCTCTTCCAGCCTCAACTCTGCCTCCATCTGTCTGGATAAGACAGAACATGCAGAAAGGATTCCATGGCTCTCCTTCCAGTATAGGGGAGGACATGATTCTAGACCACCATGGAAGGCTGATTCAGAGGTGGACTTGCAGTAAAGCAAGTAGAATGAAACGTTAGCTGCAGAAGACAAGCAGTGGAGCACAGGAGTGTTCACTGTGGAATTCTTTACCTTTTCTGTCTTTGAAACTTTCAGATATGATGTCAGGAGTGAAAAAGATCTGATTAAATGGGAAGAGGGTAATTTGAGAGAAGGAGGGAGGAGGGAGATAAGATTTTCCTTGGGAAGTTGGGAGGAACAGAACCCTTCCAGAAGCTCGGCCCCCTAGCGTGCCTCTGCATAGTTCTGGAGGCTCAGCCTCGGTCTCCTGCCTGGGTTTCCCATCGTTGCTGCACGTACCTCGCTGGGGCTGGCCCTGGGCCCAGTCCTCAAATGGGATAAACGGTTAATTCCACTTGGTCGTTTTCTTCCCCACCAGATCAAGTCAGGTTATACCATGCACTTAGTCATCCTCTGGGTAAATTTCCACAAGTGATGATTAGAAACACACTTTGAGTTGGAATCATGAAATGCACCATGTGAGCCAGCGAAGCCGTGGGATGGCTGCAGGCGGAGCCACAGAAGGCAGTGCCGGGTAGAGCGATGGCTGTGCTGTTCAGGGGTGGAGGAAGGGCGCAGGACTCTGCAAAACCTGGGGGTCAGAGTCCTTGCTCCTGCCTGGCCCCAGGCCTTCCCCATGTGTCCTCTTGGTCCTAACTTGCCGTTTAGGAACACGCTGTCTCCACCCTCGGTACCCACTGTTTTCCTTGGGTCTGGCCTCCTCTCTGGGGTGGGTTTCGTGGTGGAAGAAGTAGGAAATCCCCAAAGGCATTAGCCCCACAAGTCCAGGACGTGTGTATATGAGTTAGCTCTTTCCACGTGTCAGATCAAGGATAAATGTCAAATTTGTTTTCCCCAGTTTGTTCCTGTGGTTCAAATGGAATATGTCCTTGTGTCCCGCACAAAGGTCTAACATTGCACAGGGATGGCCCAGCATGTCCTCCTAGGTTTTCGTGAACAGTGCCTGTGCCATTCTGCCTGATCGCATGGAAATACCCTCTTGCTGGGGAGCCAGCCGGAGGTGCTTCTGACAGCAGAGAGTTCTCCATCCAGGCTGAATTCTCCCATTGCTGGGCACAGCCAGCCTGACCCCCATGCAGGGTGCACTCCTGGGAGCTGCCCTCCCCACATGCTGCGCAGGAATTGGCTGTTTCCTCAGGGATGGCCGTGAAGGCCCTTCCGCCACCTGCGGTAACTCCAATAGGGACAGTAGGTCAGCCCCTCCAGATAGCTCTCAGCAGAATGCTACTTGCCCATCAAATCAAAATGCAAAATCTAATTCTGATTTTAAGATCTCATATGGGCCAGCATCCCAGTTATAATGGCTTTGAGACAAGTTATTTCAGTTTTTGGAAAAGCACTTTCCAAAATTATTTTATAGTTATTTTAATAAGACGCGCAACTCATCCAGGGTTGATGAGGGAGTATGAGGAAGAGTGGATTTTACTTCTTTCATTCTTTCTTGCTGTGACAGTTTCTCCACTCATTAGAAATCTGGAGAGAAATAGAAGAAAACGGAAGGCCAGTCCATCTGGTTGCTTTGTTGATGTCTGACGACCGCGGTGGGTGGAGAAGGCAGCTGAGGCCATGCTCTTGGCCTGCATGGTGTTTTTGGAATTGCTGAGAATACCTGTGCCCCCTGCTTGTCATCGTGTCCTAGAGACACTTTATTGCAGGGAAGCCTGTGTGTTCTGTCTCCCAGTCTTTTCCCTTATCATGGGCCAGCCATAATGCTTTAGCTCACAGCGCTGAGGCCTTCCAGGAACGGGGCAGCTAGACTCTTGGTTGACTTATCTTCAAGTGACTCCTCAGGAAGGAATGTCCGCTGAGATGGCGATTCCGATTTCTGTTTAAAAAGCTTATCCTTAGTTGCTGAGAAATGAAAAAGAAAATATTCTCTGTTTTGGTTGGAGCCTCACAAAACTAAAGTTGTGCATTCTCATGCTCCCTGGGCAGTGGCAGTTAACTAACAAGCACTATTTAGGGAGCAGAGCTGAATTCTGCCGGCCCCCTGAAGAATACTGGTGTAGGGATCAAGGCACAAACAAAGCGTGGCATAGTGGCGAGGCTTATTACATTGGAAGTAAGAAAACATGCAGCTTTGCCAGATGAAAAAGGAACAGTCATGAGGGAAAAGAACCCTCCTCTGAACTTGTTGCAGAATTTGGATCAAAGTCTTAGGTTGAGTTTGGAAGCCTAAATAGCGTATCAGGAAAGTGGAAACCAGAGTCGGGACAGTGGCAGCACAGCACTGTTGGACGTGTCAGAGGTCAGGAGAAGCGAGAAGGCAGCCCAGGGTCACACAGGAACAGTGTCTGTCCCAGAACATGGGTAAGCTCCAGGTTGCTGCTACTCCCGTTGTGGTCCCTGGGCCAGCAGCCCAGTATCAGGTGCGAGCCTGTGAGACATGCAGAATCGTGGGTGCCACTCCGGACTAACCCAGTCACTCAGCAACTGCATTTTTTCAAAATCTTCAGGTGAGTTATATGAACTGCCCTGGGAAATTGGAGCAGAACTGTGAAGAAAACCATTTCCCCCTTCCAGCATGCTGGTGTTCACTTGAGAAGCTGATTAGGGTCAACGGATCATTCTGTCTGTGAAGGGAATATCATTCCTCCTTTGCAGCTGCACCTGAAGCATCCACTGTTGTGTTTCTTTCAGCCATATCAGCAGCGACAGCTTCCTGTGTGACTGCCAGCTGAAGTGGCTGCCCCCGTGGCTAATGGGCAGGATGCTGCAGGCCTCTGTGACAGCCACCTGTGCCCACCCAGAATCACTGAAGGGCCAGAGCATTTTCTCTGTGCCACCGGAGAGTTTCGTGTGTGGTAAGACTGTCTTTGTAACTTTTTTTCTCATTCATGGAGGACAAAGAAGCCAGGAGGTACTCCTCATTATGGGGATAATTCCTGTGATCAGAGTAAACCCCAGCTTGTGGTTACAGATCAGCTGCTAGATGCAATTTATTTCTCGCTGAAACCACACACAGTATTTACCATAGAGTTGCCTCATTATGTGGTTCTTGGAGGACATGCATTTAATCAGAAGGGAATATAAGTTGGTTCAGTTGCAAATCAGAATAATCAGTTACGGGAAGATAGTTCTGTTGTTCAGAAGAGCTCTGGTGCCCAGGTTTAGCTGTGAATTTACTCAGTGTACAAGGCTGGGGTTTTAATGTGTGTTCTTTCCAACCCCAAGAATGAAAGGTTAAATACAGGAAGAACAAGTCTCAGGAGAACAGTGGCTGTAGTAAAAATAAGTCCTTGATGTTGACTTGTACCCTTGCTGTTTCTCCAAACCACTGAAATCTGCACTTGCAGCTTTACATTCTTTTTGCCTTCTGATTGCCGGAACGTAGCTCTTGGCGTCTTTTTGATTTGGGGTCAGGATCCAAGTTTGGTTGCAGAGAGCACGGAAAATGCTGAACAGCTGAAAACACACACGCAGGCTAGCTCAGACAGGAATGACACAGCCTCGTAGTCAGGAAGACATGGTCAAAGAATGAGATGAATTCTGAGTTTTTCCTGGATTTTTGCTTTAAGCGGGAGCAAGAGTGGGATTCCCAGGCCTGACTGGAACTGCTGGGCAGGTTTGAGTCCCCCCTGCCTTTTGTACTCACTGGTCTCCTTGAGCCTTGAGATCCCTGCTGTGAGGATCCTAACCAGGAGCTCACCCATCCATATGGGGACCCTGTGGGCCACTTCTCTATCCTGCTTTCCGGCCATAGCAATAGCGTGTGCCTGCTGGAGGCAAGATGTGTGCATCCTCCTTCCATGCATCTACCCCTACCTCCACTGTGGCCACTTCTGAAAACAGGCCTGCTGAACTTCCTGTGGATGCAGACCAAGGGGACGTCTTAAACATACTGTGAACATGGCAGCAGCTCTCCATACTGAGCTTTTCATACTATCTGTCTTACGGAGCCTTCTGTGTGGAATCTAATGTGTGCACAGTTCCATTCTCCAGGCACAGATGGCTGTATAATCTATTGTTCATCGGTCTATTGTCATCAAGTCCTTGACCATTACATTTTTGTAGTTCTCCCTCAAGGAAGCTTTCTGCCACTCCCTCCCCTTTCTTGCCATAGGGCAGGCTTTCCCTTTGGGTGAGCCAGACAGGACTTCTGGTACACTCATCTAGCCCCCAGCCTGTGGCCCTGCCATATTCTAAATTCCAGGAGTTGTTTATTTCACATCTCTCCCCACCTCTACATTTTAGCTCAAGCCTTTACCCTCCAAAAACATTAGGTGTTAATGAGAATCATGAAAACACTTGGCAGAAGATAAGGTTTCAAGCTCGGTGGGAGTCTCCCACTCCTTTTTAAAAAAGTGAAACATAACCACTTCACATCTACTAGGACAGCTAGAATAAAAAACTCGGATGATAACAAGTGTTGGTGAGGACAGGGAGAAATCTGAACCCTCCTGCACTGCTGGTGGGAGGGTAAACTGGGGCAGCCACTTTGGAAGACAGTCTCGGTAGTTCCTCAGTTCAACATACAGTTATGATGTGATCTGGCAGTTCCACTCTTGGGTGTATACCCAAGAGAAATGAATGTATATGTTCACACAGAAACCTCTATTTGAATGTTCATAGCAGCATTATTCATAATAGCCAAACTATGGGGACAACTCAGGTATCAGTTGATGACTGGATGAACAAAAGGTGGTATAACCATACAATGGAATATTCATTAGGCTGTAAAAGTAATCGGTAGTCCTACAATGTGGATGAGCTTTGACAATGTCATGCTAGGTGGAAGAAGTCAGCCACAAAACACTATTAGATTATATGATCCCATTGATAGAAATGTCCAGAATGGGGAAATCTCTGGAGGTAGAGATTAGGTTAGTAGTAGTTTAAGGGGAGGGGTGGAAAGAGAGGGGTAATAGCTAAAATGTACAGCATTTCTTTTTGAGGTGATAAAAATGTTTTAAAATTGACTGTAGTGACTGATGGTTGCCCATATTGGTGAATATGCTAAAAACCATTGAATTGTATACTTTAGATGAGTGAGTTGTGGTGTAGATGAACTATTCTCAATTAAGCTGGTTTTACAAAGAAATGTAGTTTACATATCATAAAAAATTACCCCTTTAAAATGTATAAACTGATGGTTTTTCTAGTAGTCACAAGTTGTGTAACCATCACTATTATCTTATTTTAGAACATTTGCATCACCCCTGAAAGGATCCCCATACCATTAGCAATCACTCGCTATTATTCGCTGCCCCCAGGCCCTCGATAGCACTAATCTCATCGTGTCTCTATCATTTGCCTCTTCTAGGCATGTAACATAGATGGACCCATATAATATATGGCCTCCTGTAACTGGCTTTTCTTAGCATAATTTGTAAGCATGTATCAGTACTTCAATTTGCGGTTTTAATGGCTGAATAATATCTTATTATATGGGTTTACATTTTATCCATTTATCAGATGATAGACATTAGATTGTGCCTACCTTTTGGCTATTATAAATAATGCTGCTATGAAAATTCATAGGTTTTGAATTTTGTGTGATTCTCAAAAGGTTTTGTGTGATTCTTTTGGGTACAGACCTAGGAATGGAATTGCTGGGTCATATGCTAACTCTATGTGTAAATTTTTTGAGGGGCTGCCAAACTGTTTTCCAAAGTGGCTTCATGATTTTACATGCCCATCAGCAGTGCATGAGAATTACAGTTTCTCCCCATTTTTGCCAGCATGTGTTTTTGGTTTAGTTGGTTGGTTTTTGAGACAGAGTTTCACTCTTGTTGCCCAGGCTGGAGTGCAATGGCACGATCTCAGCTCACCAAAACCTCCACCTCCCGGGTTCAAGCGATTCTCTGGCCTCAGCCTCCCAAGTAGCTGAGATTACAGGCATGCGCTACCATGCCCGGTTAATTTTGTATTTTTAGTAGAGATGGGGTTTCTCCATGTTGGTCACACTGGTCTCGAACTCCTTCCAATCTCAGGTGATCCACCCGCCTCAGCCTCCCAGAGTGCTGCGATTACAGGCATAAGCCACTGTACCTGGCTGCCAGCATGTGTTATTAACTGTCTTTTTTATTTTGGCTATACTAGTGAGTGTGAAGTGGAGTCTCATGGTGGTTTTGATTTGCATTTCCCTAAAGCATGTTTTCACATGCTTATTGGACTTATATATATATTTTCTTTGGAAAAACAGCTATTTAAATCATCTGCCAGTGTTCACTTGTCTTTTCATTGTTTAGTTGTAAGAGTTCTTTATGTATTCTCGACACTGGACCTTGATAAGATATATGTTGTGCCAACATTTTCTCCCAGTCTGAGGGCTTTTATTTTCTTGATCGTTGAAATACAAAAGTTTTGAATTTTGATGAACCTCATTATCTCTATTTTTTCTATTATTACTTGTGCTTTTGATGTCATACCTGAGAAACTATTTGCCTGACATAAGGTCACAAAGATTTCCTCCTGGATTTTCTTCTAAGAGTTTTATAGCCTTAGTGTTACAAAGGCCTCTGATTTGTTCTTTTTCAAAATTGTTTTGACTGTTATGGATCTCTTGCCATTTCTCTATAATTTTTTTTGATCAGCTTGTCGATTTCTGTAGTAAAGGAAAGTGGGATAGGGTTTGCATTGAATCTATAGACTAATTTGAGAAGTAGTGCAACTTAACAGTATTAAGTCTTCCCAATCCATGAAGATGGGCCGTCTGTTCACCCTTTTTTTCTTAGCTTCTTAAAAATTTCTTTCAGTCATGTTTTGTCATTTTCATTGAACTAGTGTTAAATTTATTTGTTTTTATTCTTTTTGCTATTGTAAATGAAATTCTTAATTTCACTTTTGGATTTAAAAAATGAGATTTGCATTGCAAGTGTACAGAAATGCAGTTGAATTTTGTTTATCTTGATCTTGTATCCTGTGCCTTTGCTGACATCATTTATTAGCTCTAAGTTTTTCAATAAATTTATTAGGATTTTCTTTATATGTGATCATCATGTCATTTGCAAAACAGTGGCTTTACTTATTCCTTTCCTGTCTGGATGGCTGTCATTTCTTTCTCTAGCCTAATTGCCCTGGCTAGAAGCTCTTAATACAATGTGGAATTAAAGTAGTAAGGGCAGACATTTTTGTCTTTTTCCTAAAATTGGAGGGAAAGCATTTGGTCTTTCACCATTAAGTATTTGCTAGCTGTAGATTTTTCAGAGCCGACCTTTACGAAATTGAAGAAGTTCCTTTTTATCCTGAGTTTGTTGAGGGTTTCTGTTTTTGTTTTTTTTGTCATGAAAGGGTGTTGGATTCTGTCATTTTTTTTTTTCTGCATCTGTGGAGGTGATGTGGTTTTTTTCCCTGTATTTTGCTGATATCGTGTATTATTTTGATTTTTGGATCTTAAACCAATGCTGCCTTCTTGGGATCAATCCAGCTTGCTTGTGGTATATGATCTTTATATATTGTAAGATTCAGTTTGCTAGTATTTTTATTGAGGATTTTTGCATTTATACTTATGATGTTGTTTTGTAGCTTTTGCGTGTGAGATTAGGTTTTGTCTTATTGGGAAATACTCCCTTAAATGTTTTCTAAGAGTTTGCGAATGACTGGTAATAATTCCTTAAATATTTGGTTGAACTCACCAGTATAGCCATTTGGGTCTGGGTTTTTATTACTGATTTTTGAGACTGAGTCTCGCTCTGTCACCCAGGCTGAAGTGCAGCAGCGTGATCTTGGCTCACTGCAACCCCCACCTGCTGGGTTCAAGCAATTCTTCTGCCTCAGCCTCCCGAGTAGCTGGGATTACAGGGGTGCACCACCACATCTGGCTAATTTTTGTATTTTTAGTAGAGATAGGGCTTCACCATGTTGGTCTGGCTGGTCTTGAACTCCTGACCTCAAATAATCTGCCCGCCTCAGCCTCCTAAAAGTGCTGGGATTACAGGTGTGAGCCACCATACCTGGCATGGGCTTTTCTTTATGGGAAGTTTTAAAATGATTAATTCAGTCTTGTTACTTGTTAATGTCTATTCACAATGTCTATTTCCTCTTGAGCCAGTTTTGGTAGTTTGTGTCTGTCTAGGAATTTTTACCAGGTTATCTTATTGGTATACAGTTGTTTATAGTATAACCTGTTTTATACTGTAAGGTTGGTAATAGTGTGTCTTCTTTCATTCCTGAGTTTAGAGATTTGAGCCTGCTTCTCCCACCCACGAGTCTATCTAAAGGTTTTTCAGTTTTGTGGATATTTTCAATGAACCTACTTTTGTTTTCAGTGCTTGTCTGTATTTTTCTATTTATTTTCATATTTTTCTGTTCTGATCTTTATTATTTCCTTCTTTCTGCTTGCATTGAATGCAGCTTGCTCATCCTTTTTTAAATTTCTTAAAAGGTTAGATTATTAATTTGAGATCTTTAATGTAGGTATCTACAGTTGTAAATGTATAAACACTGTTTCAGCTGCCACTTCCTAGTTTTCGTATATTTTTGTTTTTATTCATCTCAAAGTATTTTCTTATTTCTCCTGTGATTTCTTCTTTGCCTTTTAGGAGTGCACTGTTTAACTTCCACAGATTAGTTTCCCATTATTCTTTCTACCCAATTAATTTTGAGTTTTATTCCATTGCCATCAGAGAAGATACTTTGTATGATTTTCATCTTTTTAAATTTGAGACTTGGTTTGTGACCTAAAAAATTGTGGTCTATCCTGGATAATATTCCACGTGTACTTCAAAAGAATGTTCATGCTGGTGTTAAGTGGAGTGTTCCATTGATATCTATTAGGTCTATTTGGGTTTTTTTGTTGGTTTGGTTGGGTTTTGAGATGGAGTCTCCCTCTGTCACCCAGGCTGGAGTGCAGTAGCGTGAAAAGTCCTTAAAGTCCTGATTTGGCTCCATCTAACTTTTTAGTTATAATCTTTAAAAACCTTTAAAGGGTACCCATTTTTCTTCCATTAATAATGTAAAAAAGACTGCATTAATATGTTTAAATCCCCAGGACCCTCAGTTCTTTAGGGTTGTACTAAATGGCTGGTATTATCATTCGAGAGTGTCTTGAACTTGATGGAGATTATATTGAGAGATAAAGTTTATAATTCCGTTTTCCATGAACTTTTTGAAGTTCTGTCCATTGTTGAAAGTGGCGTATTGAAGTGTACAAACTGTTACAATTGCACTGTTTCTTCCTTTAATCCTGTCAGATTTTATGTTTTGTGGCCATCCATTAGGTGTATATTTATCATTTTTATGTGTTTCTGATGCATTGACTCTTTTACATTATAAAATATTATTGTCTCTCTAGTAGAAACTCCTATCTTAAAGCCTATTTTGTCTGTTAGTAGTATGAGCATTTTAGTTCTCTTTTGGTGCCTTCCAAACTGTGTCTCTTGTAGGCAGCATGTAGCTGGATCATGCCTTTTTTAATCCATTATGGTAATCTTTGCCTTTTGATTACAATGTTTAATTCATTTTCTTTTAATGCAATTACTGATAAGGTAGAGTTTGCCCCTTATTTGCTCTATCCTATCTTTTGGTTTCATTATTTTTCCATTACTGACTAGTTTTTTTTGTTGTTGTTTTTGAATAGATATTTTCTGGCATACTATTTTAATTCCCTGTTTTTAAAATACACACACACACTCTCTCTCTCATGTATTTTTTAGTTATTTTCTTAGTTTTGCCCATAGAAATAACATCTTACAACAATGTAGTTCAAATAAATAATGAAATTAACTTTAATAGTATGCAAAAATTATGTTCCTATTAAGATCCAGTTTTCCTCCTTTATTACTGTCATATACATTACATTTTTCATTAGGCCCATCAACACAGCTTACAATTACTGCTTTATGTAGTTATCTTTTAAATCAGGAGAAGAGAGTTACAAAAATACACGTATCCTGTGTTTTGTACTTACCTGTATAGTTACCTTTAATGGGATTTTTTATTTCTTGGTGTGGATTGGAATTGCTATCAGATATTCTTTCATTTCAGCCATACTGAATACTCTTCTTTCTTGTAAGGGCACATCTGGTAACAGTGAACTTGCTTAGTGTGTGTTTAAAATAAAAACATGGGAATGTTTTAACTTCCCCTTCATTTTTGAAGGATAGGTCCTTTTTTAATATATAGACTTCATAGTTGCTCATCTCTCTCTCAGTAATTTAAATGTCTTCTGCCTTCTGTTCTCTGTGGTTTCTGGTGAAAAATCAGCTGTTAATATTAGGGAAGATCCCTTGAATGTGATGAGTTGCTCCGCTTTGGTGTTTTCAAGACGCTTTGTCTTTGGCACTTGACAGCTTGACTGTGATGCATCTGGGTGTGGATCTTTGAATTTATTCTACTTGGAGTTCATTGAGATTCTTGGTATGTGGCTACATATTTGTCATCAAATTTGGGGCCATTGTTTTGAAAAATACTTTTTTCTGTTCCTTTTTCTTTCTTCTCCTCCTTGGATTCCCATGATTTGTATGTCGTTGTGCTTGATGCTGTCCCACAAGTCTCTGTGGTTCTGTTCATTTTTCCTCATTCTTTTTTGGTTCTCAGACTGCATAATCTCAGTTGACTGTCTCAAGTTCCCTGCCCCTTCCTTCTGCCAGCTCATTCAGTTCTACTGTCAAGCCCCTCTAGTGAATTTTTCGTTTCAATTATTATACAAGTTTCAAAATCTCTACTTGCTTCATGTGTAAAACTTTTCTCTTTATTGATATAAAATGTTCTCACACTTTCCATTTTTTAAGACGTGGTTTCCTTTAGGTGTTTGAACATACCTATAATCGCCAGTTTAAAAAGTTTCTTTAGTGAGTCTAACTCTGGCTTCCTCAGAGACAGTTTCTGTTGACCTGTTTTCCTGTTTGTTTCATCATATTTTGTTGAAAATGGGGCGTTTAAAAGAAAATAATGTGGCAACTCTGGAAACTGGATATTCCCCTTCTCCTCCCCCAGGGTTTGCTTCTGTTGCCGTTTATTGTTACAGCTTGCCTAGTGACTTTTCCTGGACAAAGGTTGGAAAGTCTGTCCCCTTAAGTTCCTGCTTGTTTAACTTAGTGGTCAGCTAATGGTTGGACAGAGAAGTCCTTGTCCCCACAACCACTGTCTCCCATCCTTTAACCCAGGGCCTGTGTGTTTGTGTTGGGGTGTGCCATCACTTCCTGTTTGTGCAGACAGTCATGCTCAGCCACAGGTGAGAAATGAGGACACCCCCTCAGGTCTTTCCTGGGTGTGCACATGGCTCTGCCTGTGCACATGGTTGTCTAGATCTCCAGGAATGTATTGGACCTTTTCAAAGCCCACTATCAACATTTTATTCTCCACATTTTCCTTTATAGTTTTTAGGCCAGCTGCTTGTTTGCTCCATGAGTATTGTCCCCTCAGACAGCTGTGCTGTTGAACAGTGGCTGCTGATTGTTGTGGTCACGTCCCCTGGGGCTAACTAGGACTTCTTCCTCTGGGCAAACTAGATCAGGGCAGATCATTGCAAATCCTTTGAATGGAGCTCTGCAGTTTGCTGCCAGATACGCCACATGGTGTCAGTTCTGAGGACAGGACTTTTGGGGAACCCATTCTGACCCTTCAGTGGTTGCTAGGCTGTGGGGTTTCAAGGCTACCGTGGAGCTGGGAGAGAGAGGAATGAGGCTTAGGATTAGTTAAAACACCACAAAGCTCATGTTTCTTACTATTTTCTTGAGTCAACACTCTATGGATTGTTGTAAGTCTCTGGTTTTCCAGAATTCTGAAAAAGTTGGTTTTGACCATTTTTGCAGGTGTTTTCATTGTTTTAATGGAGGTGCAGGTTTTTGGAGGTCCTTATTCTGACATTTTGGAAGTGTTTCACACCCCCTCCTTTTGGAGTAAGGTGTGTGCATAAGGTCTCTGCAGTCATGACTAGTCATGACTGACTCTGTTTTGTGTGAAAGTCAGCAGACAGATCCAATTGTCTTAAGGAAACTGCCGGCTGGCTAGTTTGAGAGCTGAGAACTGGTGGGTTACTTTCTAATCAGGGAGTTTGATCATAAAGGTGATCAATACTCAGACTTAAAATTAGATGAGGCTCAAATGTCCATGGTGCAACTCTTTTTTTTTTTTTTTTTTTTTTTTTT